TTAATTATTAGTCTGTGGTAAGAATGGTAAATGGAAATGATAAACAAATACTTTGGCTAAAGCAAAGACTTTGAGACATGTATTGAGATACAGTTCAAACTGATGGGATTGAAAGTCTCCTCTATATGGTGTCTGTGAAGGTTATATGCGAAATGTCTGGTGAGTTTTAATCAGTTTACAAGAGGGTCAGGTGATCAAGGTCCTTTGCTTCGTTTGATCTGATCCTTCTAGAATACCTACCCTACTGTCGTCCCATTACAACATAAAGTTTTTTTTAAAGGAATACGGCATCCTGGTCTCTCCACCCTTCCTAGTAATCTGTTTTCCAAACATTAATTACTCTCTGAGTAAAATAAATTTTCCTGGTATCTGTCCTGAAATTGACCTTTGCAACCCTGAACATATGCCCACTTGTTCTGCTGCCTTGACTTATCTGAAAGTATTGTTCCAAGTTTACTTTTTCTATCTCATTTAAAATCCTATTTACTTCTACAATAATAATCCTTGCATTTGATATAGCGCTTTTCACATCTTCCAGACGCCTCAAAGTGCTTCACAGAATATACTGAAAAGTGAATTGACTGTATATTTGTGGGAGGAACGCGGCAGACTATCAAGTCTGAGTCGTACCTCTGAGATGTCTCTTTTCAAAGCTGGAGAGTTCCTCCTGAAGATAGGCACATAACACAAAACAGTCCCTAATGTTCCATTTTTACTCAAGAGATGCTACAGGAATAGCTGCTTGGGAAATGGAAATGTCATACTAGTATAGGAAGGACTCATTTTCTGGAATTGGGGCTAAGCTAGCAGCGATCCACAGCAATAAGGATGCTTTGTTTTGCAGAAGGCTGTGCAATACCTAACCTGGGAGTCCTGATACTGACACCGGAGTTGGTGGTGGGGAGGTGATCTCAATGTTTTCCTTTTGGTAAATTTATTGTCCTCTTTACGCAAGTCCTTATAATGAGAACACCTATGAACATGGCAAACTAAGAACTATAAATTAATATTTATGTGGAGTATAAAAGCTGACATGGACTAGTTAGGCCAAATGGCCTGTTTCTGTGCTGTAATTTCTATGTAAATCTATAAGAGTTAATTTCCTGCAAATTCAGATCATATACATGAGATAGGGTTCCTGACATTTTACATCCCGAGATGAATTTTTGTTGCGGCATCATTCCTGCCGCTGTTTCTCTAACAAGCATTTTGACATTAACCTATTTTTTCCTGATATCTGTTCAATATTGTTCAACAATGTTGTCAGATCAAATGTGAAGTGAATTTACATGAGGTGTTAAATCGTCTGTCTGTCCTCTGGTGGATGTTAAAGATCTACAACAACAAGATTTAATTTATAGAGCGCCTTTCACGTCGTCCCAAGGCGCTGGACAGTTGGGTCGGGACCCAAGCAGGGGGGAAATGGTCAGGGTGAAGGGAGGGAAGGGAGGGAGCGAGGAGGGGGTAGAGAGTCGAGAGGGGAGCTGATGGCACGGTTGAAGAGAAAATGACCCTATTCCAAAATGGAAGGCAGATTCTCTCGGTGTTGTGGCAACAATCCTCCAGATAAATTTGCTCATTCACCTAATGCCTATTTGTGGAACCTTACTGGCATAAACGACTATTACATCTGCGTTAAGAAACATTCATCCACCTGAACCACTTTGCTTTGATGTAATAAGGTCCTACAAAAATGTACACTTTCTTTCCGCTTCAGATTTATTACTAAGACTGTAATGGTGTTTTATGGTATATTTCTATGTTTAAGGGATCTGAAAGAATCCAACATTCTCTCTACTAGCTCTGTTTTGTATGCTTTGTTCACATGTAAGTAAACGTCTCTGTGGCTAACTGATCAGATATGAGGGGTTATTTAATGAGAATTACAATTAGATTACATCTCAGCTGTAGACTCAAACCAACCTAACTGTATCTCAGGAAAAGAATATTCCTCTTCAATTTTATATAACAAGGATTATTCTCTTAGAGATAGGATTGGAAATAGCAATCCCATTAATCAAAATAGGAGTGAGACACAAGCCCTCAAAATTTTAGTCCAATTAACCAAATATCTGTACTGAACTAATTGCTCAAGATAAAATATAATCTGAAGAGGAAAATAACATAAGTAGTCAAAAAAGTATTAAAAGCAATATTTCCTCCCCATGCAAATCTGCTAAAATTATTTGAGATAACTGACCAAGATAACACTGTTTGAATTTAAAAAGCCTTCAATGGCACTAAATATTAAAATATGTTTTCCCTCACCAAGTGGTCGATTTGTGAAATAGACACCCACAAAAGCAATTGATTGCTCCAATAAATTGATGTCAAGTTAGCCATCTCTTTCAAACAAGACCTGGAGAAGCATCTGCTTAAGAACAGTGGTGCTCCAACAAGATTGCTTCATATCGACTCTTGAAAATAAATAAAATTGGTCATTTACTTCATTGCTGTTTGTGGGACATTGCTGTGCACAAATTAGCTGCCACACCCATAAAACACACAATCACTGAGCATTATAGTAAATCTTGTGAAGTTCTTTGACCCACCCTACCAACATGAAAGGTATTTACATTCACACATAAAAAAGTGTTGTGTGCTTAGATAGTGCGCATACCCTGTAAGTAACTTTACATGTTATTTGAGAAATTAAACTGTTTCTTAGCAGATTAAGATGAGCCTTACCCATCTAAATAGTTAAACTCTTTTAAATAAACAGAACTACTACGCAACTACCGATTCAAAAACTATAATCAGCATCTAATATTATGTATGGGCATGAGGTGCTTGCCCTTATTCACACATGCTTTTCTTCTGATCTCAGTCATGCTGTTGTGAAGGATAACAGATGTTTTCATATTTCAAGAAAACAGTGAACAATTAGACACTGAAAAAATCTAAAAATATAATAATGTTGCCTGCTGACAAACACCAGAGTATTGTGACATGCCAAATCCTTAGCTGTCATTATTCCGCACATTCCAACAGTCTACATGATTATAACTGTAGGAAAACACATCATGTACTTGTATATGATCTTTCTGTCTGTAATAATTGTGCAATATTTACAATGCTAAATCAAATGCAAAGGAAACGCTAACTGAATCAGTTAGATTCTGGTGAGTGGAAGTATGTCACGCCAATCCATGAACTCTGTTCAGATGGAATTCGCTTCCACAGCAGAATTCCCGTGGGCCAATAGAGCTGACCTAGCGCTACCAGAAAGAGATGACTTGCAATTCAGAGCTATTAGTTAAGGCGGACAATTTTCAATAGCCTCAGTTCATCCCCTATATTCCGAAATAAGTTAACCTGGCAGTAAATTAGTTATGATTTCCAAAGAAGGTTAATTCTCTGTTGTTAGTTTTGCTCCCCTCGCTAGCTGTAGTACTAGTACCAAATGCAGCAGTTTCGCTTGCAACCAAAGGATCCAATATGGAATGGAATGGAGATTGACACATACACAGACTGAGGGAGGACTCCTTTTGGGAGACTGAGTAGGAGGATTCAGCACTTTAAAAATGCAATTTTGTTGTTGTTGCTGCAACTATGTTCTTTATTTTGTTCCTGCCACTTGCCTATGTGCGTGCTCTGTAACGTAGGATGCCACAGAGCCACAGTCAGCCAGCGCAGCCACCAGGTGTAACTGCAATGTGTGCGAATATCCACAGGTGCTCTGTGACGCATGATGCCACAGCGCCACTTTGACTCGGGGGCCACCAGGTGCGACTCCAGCGAAAACAACAAAACGTAAAATAACTAATGAACGATAGGCGATACCCGAAAACAAATATGCCCATGTCACTACCAGATGCAAGACCTTTCTAATGAGGTATAAGTCATGTCTCTAAGTCAATTGGTTATTGAGATCCTTCTAGAAGCGCAGACAGACATTGTCGTTTTATTATTATAAATTATTATTAGTGTAAGATATGCAACACAGTGTTCTTGCCATAATACCTATCTATCTTGAACTTGACATATTCCAAGTCTGTGTTGCTCAATGTACCATGAAGCTTTACCAATGGAGTCATCGATTCTTAAAGTCACTGCTTGGGGACTGACACAGCATTTTTTTTTAAATGTAAAAATTTGAATTAAGTTGCTTTTCAAAATTTCAAAAACAAATCTCACATCAAGAAGGGAATAAAGGAAGAGCATTCTTATTGAAAAAAGCAACAAAGCCAGAAAATATTTCTTCAAAGGGTCCTGAGAATGTGGAATGTATTCCCTCAGGAGCCCTTGTATATCGATTCAAATGAGGCGTTTAAGATGCAGATTGATTAGGACTTGGAAGAAAGCATTTTAAGGCATATGAAGAAAAGTTGAGGAAGCAGGATCAAAAGTAAAAAGAGCTGCCATGAGCTAATAAAATGGTGGGGCAGGTCCAATGAATTACTTACTTCTATTCCTATTTAATGCTTACTGTATACTAAACCGTAAGATCTATTTTCAAGCCACAGAAATAGTAGTAACCAAAAGGGCATCATTTTTGGTGCTCACTTCTGTGATTGATTTAGGTACAATATTAAAACCATCTCCTCGCTTGAAATGGCACATTAATGTACATAATAGTAATCCTTGCATTTGATATTGCGCCTTATCAAGTCTTCGAGACTTCTCAAAGCGCTTCACAGAATAAACTGTAAAGTCAATTGACTGTATATTTTGTGGGTGAAATATATATATATCTATACATCTCTGTAAACTGGTAGACCTAAGCTCAAGTCTCAGCTTCATCTGGGATTTGCACCGGGATCCTCTTCAGAGCGAGAGCTGCTAATTTCTGCAAGGTCAATATACTGAATAAAAAGCAGCTGTAGTTACATCTCTGACTGCACCTGCAATTGACTGACAAGCAAGACACTTATAGAGACCACATAGATTCCCCAGTTGCTCATCCTTCCAACCAGATTCCAAGACACAACGTTTAGAAAAACACGAGTAGTTCCAAATAATAATAGGGACTTAGATTATAAAAAATATAAATTATTTACCTGGGAGCTGAAAATACGTTGTGACGAGCGTTCTATGTTGGCTGGTAGACCAAAATATGCCGGCTTATCATCTTCTGGCAGACTCATAATAACAGTACGGTAATCCTAGAAGCAAGCAAAAGTGAAGAATGACTAGGTAGAAAAGTCATACTTTATCTACAAAGCGTCTTACATTTTTAATCAAAACTGAGTCAAAGTATTCCTAATGACATAAATGGATAGGTTTTTCAAAGAGCCACGATAGGCCAAATGGTTGCTTTCTGTATTGTAAATTTCTATGGTTCTAATTATAGCATAATTGAGAGACAAATCAAATTTTATTAACATAAGAACATACAACAACAACAACAAGATTCCATTTATAGAGCGCCTTTCACGTCGGGAGGACGTCCCAAGGCGCTGTACAGTAGGGTCAGGACCTGAGCAGGGGGGAAATGGACAGGGTGAGGGGAGGGAAGGGAGGGAGCGAGGAAGGGGTAGAGAGTCGAGAGGAGAGCTGAAGGCACAGTCTAAGAGAAAGGTCTTGAGACCGGCCTTGAAGGAGGAAAGGGAGGAGGCGGCGAAGGCACTGGGGGATGGAGTTCCAGAGCCTCGGAGCTGAGAGGCTGAAGGCCCGGCCACCGATGGTAGGGCGGTTGGGGCGGGGGATGTGGAGCAGACCGGAGCCAGAGGAATGGAGGTACGGGCAGGTAGGTAGGGGGATAGTAGGTCGGAGAGGTAGGAGGGAGGATGAGGATCTTGAAATCGATCCTCTGGGGGATGAACAGGAGTTCATTCTGTTCCAACATAGGAACAGGAGTAGGCCGTTCAGCTCACTCTTGAAGGTGTGGATGGATCCAGCATCCACAGCCTTTTGGGGAGAGAATTCCAGATTTCTGCCACGCTTTGAGTGAAAAAATGTTTCCTGATTTCATTCTTAAATAGCCTGGTTCTAATTTTAAGACTATTCCCCTTTGTTTTGGATTCCCCCACCAGAGGAAATAGCTTCTCTGTCACTATCCTATCGAATCTCTTTATCATCTTAAACACCTCAATCAAATCATCCCTCAACCTTGTAAACTCAAGGGAATACAATCCAAGTTTACGCAGCCTTTCCTCGTAACGTAACCCTTTTAGGCCTGGTAACATTCTGGTGAACCTGCGCCTCACCCACTCCAGGGTCAATATACCTTTCCTGAGGTGTGGTGCCCAGTACTCCAGATGAGGTCTGACTAATGCTCTGTCCTGTAGCTCAGTGGTTAGAGCACTCGCTTTGCAAGTGAGAGACCTGAGTTCAATTCCAGGCAGGGCGAAAACTTGGGCAAGTTTCCTTACCCCACACGCTTAATAATAATCCCTCCAAAAAACCAAAAACAATAATTAAATTGGTCATTTTCAATCTACGATTGTTTCTGGGACAATGCTGTGCGCAATTGGCTGCCGCGTTCGCCCACAAATATACAGTCAATTCACTTTACAGTGTGTTCTGTGAAGCGCTTTGGGACGTCCTCCTGACATGAAAAGCGCTATATCAAATGCAAGGATTATTATTATTATTACAGCTGAAGCATCATTTCTTCCCCTTTGTATTTCCGGCCCCTTGAGATAAAGGCCGACATTCCATTCGCCTTTTTGATTGCTTTTTGGACCTGGGAACTAGTTTTTAATGATTTGCGGATATGGACACCCAAATCTCTTTGCTCCTCCACAGTTCTTGATTTCTCCCCATTCCGAAAATATTCTGCTTTATCTTTTTTCGGTCCACAGTAGATGACCTCGCACTTCCCTATATTGAACTCCATCTGCCACAGCTTTGTCCACTCACTTAATCTGTCTAAGTCCCTTTGTAACTTCCTACTCCCATCTACACAACTTATTGAGCCTCCTAATTTATAGCCTGGAATATTTAGCTCCCAGTCCTTTCCAGCTTATAACCAGGTCCCTGTAATGGCTACCACATCATACCCTTTAAGCTGAATTTGTGCTTCTAACTCACTTGTTTTATTTTTTATGCTACATGCATTTGTATACATAACTCTTATTTGTGTAACTGTCCCCAACACGCCTGATGATGTTCTTCTCACACTTTTTGACTTGTTACATCTTTTGTGATAACCTTTTTCTTTCCTGTAGTATTTATATTATCTATATCACTATTTGTATTCTGACCGTTGCTCTCATCCTCTCCTTGCCTTATGTTTTGATTTCTACCTGACTTCCCACCCACCCCCTTACTGGTTTAAAGCTTTTTCTACAGTCCTATTTATCCTTTTCACTAGTACCTTGGTCCCAGCCCTGTTCAGGTGCAGCCCATCTCAGCAATACAGCTCATTCCTGTCCCAGTACTGGTGCCAGTGTCCCATGAAATGGCCCCCCTCCTTCTCACACCACTCTTTCAGCCTGATCTGTTTAACTCTATGCCAATTTGCATGTGGCTCGGGTAGCAATCCAAAGATTACCATCTTTGAGGTCCTGTTTTTTTAATTTAACCCGTAGCTCTTGATACTCCCTTAGCAGGACCTCCTTCTTGATCGTTCCTATGTCATTGGTTCCCACATGGATAAGGACAACTGGTTCTTTCCCCACCCTTTCCAAGTTGCTTTCCAGCTGCTTTGAAATATCCCTTACCAGGAATCTTCATTTAACATCTTACCAGGACCAGGAAGACAACACACCCTCCTGGACACTCGATCTCGACTGCAGAGGATACCCTCAATCCCCTTAATTACTTCATCCCCAAAGCATTGTAAGATCCAGAGAGCTAACGATTTGGTAGTAATATTTTATTTTTGGCAAATGTTATTTTATTTTCTGCAAATAGGAATGTGCATGCTTTATATTAAAAAAAAGTAACATTGCAAAAACGTCATTGTTTTGCTGACAGGAGGGAGCAGAAGAGAATGTTGTTGATGACTTTAACCAGGGTTGGTATCGTGGGTGATTTTATTTTAATAAAATAGTTACAAATATTTCTTGAATGCTACTATAATTATATCAAGTTCATTGGATCTGGATGTGAAGGTTCATGTACACCAAAACACTATTTTTAAAGTGAATAGCTGTTCAATCTTGATAGTTGTTCAAAATTAATGTTATTAAGGAAATTTTGCAATGGCAAAAACTGATACGCATCTTCAGCGAGGCTCAAAATTAAATTAAAATGTCATTTCCTGCTAGATGGATGCTTTCCACTAGTTTCACTTGCATACGTTCTTAACATCACTTACCATAATGCTGCAGGATTTGGGCAATGTTATGCTTGATGGAAATGGTGCTAATGCTTTGTTCCTGAACTGCGATCCCCCAATGGTTTTGGGATTGAAGAACTGCTCCAGATATGAATTCAGGACACGCAGATCAAAGATGTTGTCGATGCGCCCACCATAGATGGCATTTTCCAACAAACCACGGACAAACTCCCACTGAATGTCCTTTGTTTCTGGTAATAACAAATGAATACTTATGAAGCAATTTTATGACACTATTGTCAGCAAGTTAGTAGTTTTCATTCATAGTTGTGAAAGGTTAGACCTCAAGTTTACAAGCATTTCTGAAAATCAATGTTATAATGCCTCTAAAATCCTTGCTATTGTAAGAAGCCTTTGAATTTGTTTTGGAGAGAAGTGACAGATGTTAAATGAATAAATACACATTCCTGTTCATTCCATTGGTAGTGATATCATTCACTCTCATAGAATAAAGATGCTATTTCAATGGTAAGTGAGCATTCAACAATGATTCTAAACCAGAAATATGCAGCATTTATTCAGTAGTGAGTTGTAAAATATATAGTAAAACATAACCATTTCAGGCAAGAGTAAATCATTGGTCAATCTAGTCTATCCAAATAATTTCCCTTACAATTCCTTCAAAGAATCTATGTCAAAATCTAATTCCATTTCACAGATTATGGGATTTGACTGCTAGTTGGGCGGGATGCCTGAATTTACTGAACAAAAACTCCTTTCTCTTTAATCCACATCTGAGTTGTCGCAATCTAGAAACTGAGCTCGCAACCCAGCTAGACAAATATTGGATTGAGAAATGTGTCGGGGATGGGGTGCTCACATCGGCACATCAATGATATATTTAATTAATATATCATTGATTAATCACATAATTATTATAATTATTAACATTATAGATTTCTAATTATAAACGGCATGTTAGGCCACAAACGTTGGCTGTATTTTTAGACAAGATATAAAATCATGGTCTCGTCTGCCTGTTCAGGTGGATGTTAAAGATGCCAAGGCACTATTTGAGAGTTTCTCCTGGTGCCCAAACTAACAATCCCCCAATTAAAATTGGCGAATTACTTCAGGGCTTTTGCAATAATAATAATAATCTTTGTATTTGAAATGGCGCCTCATCACGCCTTTGAGATGTCTCAAATCGTTTCAAAGATTATACTGTAAAATTAATTAACTGTATACTTTGTGGGCGAAACTTGGCAGCTAATTGCGCATAGCAGTGTCCCACAAACAGTCGTGGACCAATTTTTTTAAAAAATTACTTCAGGAATATTGCTGTGCCAAATTAGCTGAGTTTGCCGATAAAATAATACAAAACAGTCACTACATTTTACAGTAAATCCTGTCAAGTGCTTTTAGACTTCCTCCCGACATGAAAGATGCAAAATCAAATGCAAGCATTGTTTTTATGAAATGAAACCTTTTTAAATTAGCTTTGTCACCAATTCCTCACACTGCCTTTGAACAAGGTTCACCTTTTGGGGAAGCAGTTTTTCAAAGTGAAGTTCTTGTCACTGAAAACAGCTGCTACTAGACTTCTGCTAAAGTCACTCTTTAACTTGCTGCCAAGAGGTGTCCTATTGGGAGTTCAAGATGATGTCCTTCAATTTCCTAACCCTTCCTGTGGGCAGTGCATCTGGATTGTCTTGACTGGTTGTTGTGAGGTTTGCTTATAGCGGTGGTGCGTAGCACCTGACATTACAGAAAAATGCCAGGAGCATAAAGGTAATAGGAACAGATGGAGTCTATCAGAGTGAGCTGGCAGACGCGTCAATAGAGAAGAGCCAAAAGCAATGCTAATAAATAGAAACTGGGCAGCAACATTACTCATTTATACAATGCTCCCTTGGGCATTTTTGTTCACGTTCAAAATGCGCATCATAAAGGAGATCAACTTAACTATCCCTGAAAATTACTTCGGAAAGATTCCGGAGCAAGGCAGTTCCTTGTCTCGGTAGATTGCCTGCCATTTGAAGATTTAGAAAATGTATGTGGTACTTTTACATTAACAGATGTTCTTGAGTCCTAGAAGATAGTACCCGCATGACAATATATCGATCAGTCATTTCGAATGACTTTATCTTTGCTCAGGTTTCCTTATCTCAGTCAGCGCTACAATTGAAATGGGAAAATAAACTAGGGTTTCTTTCCTGATTCCAGAGACACCCCTCTCTCCTCACTGCCCTGAGATTGGTTGTTGCGTGGGGGGGGGGGGGGGGGGCATGTTAGATAATAACAATAATCCTTGCATTTGATATAGCGCTTTTCTTCTAGACCTCCCAAAGTGCCTCACAGAGTATAATGTAAAGTGAATTAACTGTATATTTGTGGGCAAAACCCAGCAGCCAATTGTGCACAGCAGTGTCCCGCAAACAGTCGTGGATTGAGTGATCAATTTTTTTTAAGGATTGTTATTCTTGGAAAGTGATCTGCCAATCGACTAACAACCGGGTTCCTACTTACTGTTAGGTAAGCAGAGGCGTGTGGAGTAAGGAAACTTGCCCAACATTTCGCCCTCCCGGGAACAGAACCCAGGTCTTTCGCTTGTGAGGCGAGTGGTCTACACACTGAACTACAGGACTCCATGAGGACATGATTAATTTTGCTTGTGACAATCGTCACCCCTCCACACCCCCCCACCTTCTCTCCCCCAACCCATTGCTGAATAGACCACTGACGCTCGTGTCTGAGAACAGACTTGGAGAACTAACATTTGCATATACAGTACAGGAGAACTGGTGAACATATTAAACTGGCAAAGAATCAACATCTTCAAGAAAAAGAGAAGGGGAGATAATAATTTGTACAAAACAGAGTTGCTCCCCCCCCCAATCCAACTCGGGCAACAGGTACTTACTGACATCTGAATCTCTTTAATCCACTGGCTTTCAATTTAAACAATCACAACAGAGCAAATGGCTTTATGTCCAAAGGAACAGAGTACAAGAAGGACAGGGAAGCAATGTTAAATTTATAAACACTTGATTAGATCACAGGTGACCTCTGTGTGCATTTCTGATTGCCATCTTACAGGAAGGATATTGGAGCACTGGAGAGAGCACAGGGCAGATTTACAAGGATATTACCAGGGAAGAATAGATACAGCTATCAAGAAAGATTAGACTGACAAGAGCGCCAACGTTGATATACGTTCAAGGGTATGCTCAGAAAAAATAGCACAAGAATCACAATGTCTGCGGACACTTTGGAGAGCAAAGGAATGTGAGTAAACTGTCTTTGTGGGTCAAAATTATGCCATTGGTTAGATGTTATTGCTACAGGCTTGTCCCTTGCTGAGCTTGCATGAACATTCTCCAACAAAACCACACCCTTTAATCATTTTCACGTTTGTAGTGCTGAACAAAAACTGCCTTTAGGCAAACATCCTAAGGTATTCAGACATGGCCTTTTCAAACTAAAATAAAATTACTCCAGAATTTTAGATGTAAGTTATGAAACTTCATTCAGTTTCAATATGCATTTTGTCAGGTCTTCCTAAATAGCGTGCACACTGATTCTGTTCCATCTACACAGGAACCTCGGTGTTCTGTTCGACCCTGAGCTGTCCTTTCTTCCCCACATCCGCGCCACAACTGGCACTGCCTTCCACCACCTTTGGAACGTCGCCAGACTACGGCACTGCCTCACCCCTCACGCTGCTGAAACTCTGGTCCACGCCTTTATCACCTCAAGGCTGGACTATGGGAACTCTCTCCTCTCCGGCCTTCCCGGCCCCTCCCTCCACAAGCTGCAGGTCATTCAGAACTCTGCAGCTCGTGTACTGTCCCGCACCAGGCATCGCGACCACATCACTCCCACCCTCGCTCGCCTCCACTGGCTCCCCATCCCACAGAGGATCGAATTCAAGATCCTCATCCTCACCTACAAGGCCATTCACGGCCTTGCTCCCTCCTACCTCTCCGACCTACTATCCCCCTACTTACCTGCCCGTACCCTCCGTTCCTGTGGCTCCGGTCTGCTCCACATCCCCCGCCCTAACCGCCCTACCATCAGTGGCCGGGCTTTCAGCCTCTCAGCCCCGAGGCTCTGAAACTCAGTGCCTTCGCCGCTTCCTCCCTTTCCTCCTTCAAGGCCGGTCTCAAGACCTTCCTCTTCAACCGTGCCTTCAGCTCCCCTCTCGACTCTCTACCCCTTCCTCGCTCCCTCCCTTCCCTCCCCTCACCCTGACCATTTCCCNTGCTCGGGTCCCGACCCAACTGTCCAGCGCCTTGGGAAGTCTTCCCAAGGCGCTCTATAAATGCAATCTTGTTGTTGTTGTTGTACACCATGTAGTACATTTGTTGCTGTGGGCTAAGGGATATTTTGCTCTGTTGGATAAAATTCATGAATTGTAATGCATTTTCAAGCTATAAAATTTAATTGTACATTAAAAATGCACCGCATTTACTTATAAGCGTGCAAGGGTAAATTCACTAAATCTATGCAACAGAGTTGAATTGCCCACTGTAACTAATTTGCTACAAGGAGCAAAGAAACCCATAACAATTTAATAATTCAATTAAGCCTGATACATACTATGACAAAGACCATCAACAACAGCACTGAGAAGTAAGTGAAGGGTGAAGTACAGTATGTAACAACAACAACAGCAAAATTACATTTATAGAGCGCCTTTCAAGTCGGGAGGACGTCACAAGGCGCTGGAATTTTTTGCACAATTTTTTAAGGATAATCTGGTAAGACTGCTTGACTTAAACAGTTCTATTATTAGCTGTATACAGAATTCAGCTGGTTGTATAAAAATGTATCTGATTAAATTTATAAGTAATCCTTGTAAATGGACTGCCGCGTTCGTCTCGCAATACACAGCTACCACACTTCACAGTAAAAATCCTGTGAAGTGCTTTGAGATGTCCACCCAACGTGAAAGGCTGTATATCAAATGCAAGGATTATTATTGTACCAAACACTATAATCAATAAGAAAGTTCATCACTATTTAAAAAAGAGAAATTAACATTTTCAGTATGATACAAAACATTAACCTCTTTCTTGTGCAAATGCTGATTGACCTGCTGTACATCTTTGGCATTTTTTAGTTGTATTTTAGATTTCCATATTTCAAGTTAGATGTGAAACACAAACCATGCTTCCATAGACATTGAGTTCTAACAGAAAAGCAATACAGAAAAGCACATCAAACCTCCATTAAATTTTGGCTTTGACTATTTTTTATGGGCAAGTCAGCACATTTCATGCACTATTGCAATCATTTAACAAATGTTTCCTGGAGATGATGAACAAATCATAGTGAGAAGGTTATGTTAAATTAAACATTTGCCAGCATTCAGATCTTATCACGGAGCATTGTGTCGCATTTTAAATATTCAATAGTGCAAATCAATGTAACCTAAACAGAATATTTCACTTGAGGCTAACTCACCTTCAAATAGCCTGTCAATGATCTCATACCCGGCTCGGAGATCAGATAAAGAAAATTCATAGAATTTGGTCCAACCCTGAAATGATTGGATGGAAAAAAAATAATTTTTTTCTCTCAAAATTGCACCACATCCATCTGTCAGTCAGAACAGTTTAGATGATGACTTGGTTCTTTAATATAAGCAAAGAAATTATGAAGCATGCCTTTTTTTTACAGTTGCACAACAGATACTATTAAAGAGGAATTGCAGCTATATATTTACTTAAATATCTCCAGATACATAGTCATTTTGTCCCCCTTTTAATCAACTCAGAACATTTTTCCTACCACAATTGTGAGACTGACTGGCTTGTAGTTCCCAGATTTACCTTCTCTCTCTCCCTCTCTCTATCTGTCTTTAAATGCTGTCTAAAAACAGCTTTTAACCCCTTGGACCTCACCTTTGGCGACCCTCCCTCTCAACCCCTTCCCCTCATTCAGCTTTTCACTCCGTCTTTGTACAGCCCTCAAATTAATATTTTAAATTTCTGAGAATTGTCAGTTAGAGCTTAGTTGTGCATATGAAAAGCTCTGCTTAGCCCTGGGTCAAAAGCAAATTGGAGTATGAAATATAAATCTTGGTTGTTGCATCTCTTCCTGCAGTATAGAAAAGACATTCTATTCTGATGATCGAATATGAAGGAATAGAAGAGTACTACAGTACACTGCTCTAGATTTTGCTCGTGGAGAGCTAGCATTCCTGCTGAATAATACAAGTTAACTGTCATTCTGGCACTGGTCTGCACATGGTCCTGCTTTAGTTATCCTAAACCACGATACAGAACTGCCAGTCTAACTAACAGCTGTTGGCCAACATTGCTCCAGCACTTTGACTTGGTGACTGAATTTATTTTTCTTTATTTTTCTTGAATTTATCCCTTTCTTGCTCATGCAAACAGTGTTTGGAAGAATTAATCATGTATTAATCTTAACAGTTTTGTTCTGGTGTAAACATTTACTTGGAAAGGGATTACTTACTTGAGGGATATAATTCCTTCTCTCTTGGCAAATTGCATGGAACCATGCTAAACTGAAAAGAGACTGTGCTCGTTCTAATAAACCTTTCTTAGCGATCTGTTCTGCCGTCCAGGATTCATATGTCCTCATCAAGTTCTTCTTTAAACCTGGTGGGGCCTGTAGGATAAAACATAAGCTGTCAACAAATGTAGAGAAAAATGACCCCAAAAGTTTTAATAATTGCTCCCACATATGTCAATAGAGAATTAGCTAACAGTTATTTAACTCTTCTGCTGATGGCCTTGTGGGTACAGTAGAATTATAGAATATTATAGGATAAAACCAAACCATCAGGTGCTCACTGGTTTATACTCCATATTAGCCAACAAGTTAAATCCCACTCTCCTGCTCGTACTCATACCCTTTAATCATTTTTGTTTTTGAAGTTCGATAAATAATGATAATAATAAGGAATAGCCGTCAATGAAAATCCATTATGTTTTATTTTTAAACATCGAGTAACTGGTAAAACGTGCAGTATTTACCTCATATGTTATCTTCAGACTGGACTGGAGCAATATTGGGGTAAACTTTGGATGAACTTCAGCTGTGAGCCAAAGACGGAAACCTGTATGTGGTTCGAGTGTATTCAGCTCCTATTGAAAAAATAGACAATATAAATGAGTTATCTCAGTTTATCAATGAAACCCAGATAATTCTCTGATTGACAGTAAAAAAATAATTTATTGTGGAAATCCAGCATCCAAATTAAGACAGAACTTAAAAATATTTCAAAATGTTACCACATTCTAAATATTATAGTCTAATTTATTCTAAAATTAATAACCATTCAATTAATATTAGTGAAAAGCCTTATGCATTCAAAAGTACAATTTCTGCACTCTGCAGCTAGGTCTGAAATTTTTCATCTCTTGGGCACAACTGAATTTCAGTATTTTGATGTTACTGATTCCTGTGGTTTTTATAACTATTATAAACAGACGTATCAGTTTGATTTTCTCTTCGTTCCTAAATGGATGCATTATGCATGAGGATCAGTTAGGGACATCTCGTTCCAAGTGATGCCTCTCTCAGGAGTAAACCTTGTAGAGAACAATAGAATAGAATTATAGAACAGTACAGCATAGGAAAACACAACTTAGCCCATTGGGGGTGTGTTAATGTATTTCCTCTGCATGCACCAACTAATCTAACCCCACTCTCTTACCTGCTTCCCGCACACCTCAAATATTCCTCTTTTTCAAGATGCCTTTAAACTCTACTCAACTATGGTAGAGAACTCCACACCCCAATCACTGTCAAATGTCTTTAATCCCTACTTCAATTCTTTTTATGATTATCTTAAATTTGTGTCCTCTCAAAAGGACACAATTTGCCAGTGGTAATTCACACCACCAAGGTAGAGAAATACAAGTAGCATTTTTAATAGATGAAGAAATACAAATGGAATTGAAGAACTGTTATTCTTCAAAAAGGTGTACTTTTCAAAGAATTTTCAAAATATTTAATGCTTGAAATACTTTTAATTGATGAAGCTTTGGGTAAACTGAATGCAAATACATGCCAGGACTCAATAAAAGAAAAATACATTGATAGATCAAAGCAGGACCCCACATTCCACATCATAAACGCCTGTTTGTGGGACACTGCTCTGCGCAATTGGCTGCCGCGTTTCACCCACAAATATACGGTCAATTCACTTTACAGTATATTAAGAAAAGCGCTTTGAGACGTCTAGAAGACGTGAAAAGCGCTATATCAAATGCAAGGATTATTATTATTATTATTATCCGTTCCATTACTCGTTCTGCCTTCCCCCACCTCGGCAACATCGCCCAGCTCCACCACTGCCTCTCCCCTCAGGCCGCTGAGACCCCAATCCTTGCATTCATTACATCTAGGCTCGCAACACAAGCTGCAGATGACTCAGAACTGTAATTGAACTTGAAGTACAGATCACCTATGCTCATAAAATGGCGGAACAGGCTTGAGAGGCTGAATGGCCTACTCCTGTTTCTATGTTTCTAACTCTGTAGCTCAGGTCCTCTGCCGCACCAAGCTCCGTGACCCAATCACAAGCTCATTTGTACATTGTCAAGAGAAATATCTGGTGGAATAATTTGGCAGATTTAAAAAACTTGCTTTCAGAAACTCAATGAATTGCAAATCTCCAGCAAAACGTAAAATGTAGCAAGGTTGTGAGGTGCAACATTTCAGTTTCTGGCAGAAATGTTATTATTTACCTGACGCAAACATGTAAACTGCACAATGCTTCATTCAACAACATTAATGCTAGGTTGTAATTAACCGTTGGAGCAATACTGAGAAGCTGTTACGACATCAATGTTTGCACATAATTGCATGTGTCATGTCAGACTAAGCGGCTGAAAGAAAACTTGTCAAGCAGTAGCATTCCTAATAGATGTTCAAAATCACAATGACTTACATTTAGCCTTTCGGATAAAAACAAAGTTTACCGAATAATATTTGAAATAAATGTACGTTGGTGTGGAGGCCAACATTATAGTCAATGTGTACTAGCAATATCCCATAAAGAACAATAATAAGTGAATTTGGATTTGGCTGGAATATTGACGAGGACACATTTTGTTGGCATTTAAATTTACAGGGAAATAACAACAACAACTTGCACTTATATAGCGCCCTCCACTCTGGGTAGCGTATCAGAGCTGGCGGGAGGGGGGAGGGGGCCGTAAGCATAGTCAAAGAGGAAGGTTTTCAGGCAGGACTTGAAAGTGGGGAGAGAGGAGGCCAGGCGGAGGGATTGAGAGAGAGTAATAATAATAATAATCCTTGCATTTGATATAGCGCTTTTCACATCGGGAGGACGTCCCAAAGCGCTTCACAGAACACACTGTAAAGTGAATTGACCGTATATTTGTGGGCGAACGCGGCAGCCAATTGCGCACAGCAATGTCCCACAAACAGTCGTAGATTGAAAATGACCAATTTATTATTGTTTTTGGAGGGATTATTATTCGGCGTGTGGAGTAAGGAAACTTGCCCAAGGTTTCGCTCTGCCTGGAATTGAACTCAGGTCTCTCGCTTGCAAAGCGAGTGCTCTAACCACTGAGCTACAGGACTCCACAGAGTGTTCCAGGGTAGTGGCTGAAAGCATGACCTCCGATGGTGGGGGAAATCAAAGGAAACAGAAAAAATCATAATCACAAAAAAGAATAAACGGGAAGAAAGATAAAGAGTAAGAGAGGAGAATTAGACCAAGAGCCCAAACTATATGTACTATGTAACTGTACGTGGAGATGACTTTAACGCCTCTTTGTTGTTCTTTCAACCACAACAACAATTTACAGTTATGTAACACAGGGTTGCGTCTCAGAGTGCTAAACGATAAGACAATCACAGAGAGGGCAAGGCGGAGGGATTGACACTTAACTTTACAGCAATTACACTTTGAAATATTTTGATGTGTCGGTGCTACATCAAGTGCAAAGATATTTTTGTTACAGTCACATTAAATTTGCCACTGATGCTGGTAGTTATAAAAGAAATGAGAGTATACTCAAACACCATGTGTCAATTCAATCTTTTGGATTAATAGAAAGAATTTTGGCCACAAACATTACTACATATAATAGATGACTCAAAAGTTAACCAATTCTGAAAAGCTAATCTGCACAGAGAAGTTAATATTTGGAATAAAAAGAATTGAGGCTGCTCAGCATTTTGTTACTAGTTAATAGTTGTAATGTTAAAATATAGCCAAGTTGTGAACACACGCAGCTGTCATATCTGTTTGAGAGTGATAACACAAAAACACACATGTTAAAGATCGTGTTTCCTTTACTGTTATATTATTGAACTGTAGACTTGTTTTTATAATGAAGTTTTATCCCCGTTTTTATTAAATGTACTGGTTTGTTATTATACAGTTTTACATAATTCAAAGAAAATGAAAAGACAGGTTGTGCTCAGTCCCACTGTTTATAGTGGCAAACGTCAGCACAACTTGGCTCCAGTTTACTATTATAAATGATATATCTGGTTCAGTTTTCCTGGTAACATAATGAACCACGCCACTGACTTAAGCACAGACCATGCTGGAAATGAACAGCAGGTCCATCAACATCTTAATGAGAAAGATTGGTTAATGTTTTGGATGCGATCCTTGAATAGAACAGATAATTGATCACATGCAACATTTTGATCTATATTTCTCTTTCATAGACTGATTGCCTTGCCCATGCAGTTTTTCAGCACTCACAAGTTGACTTCTATCTCTACTATTGCCCCTTCCTTGCTCGATATCTGCCTTGTATCTCTGCTATTGCCACTTCCTTGCCAGATAACTGACATTCAGATGCCATTCTCTTTTAATTTTTAGCTAACACCTAGTGTTAAAAAAATACAAAAGCAGCAAGATTTCATTTATAGAGCGCCTTTCACGTCGGGAGGACGTCCCAAGGCACTGGACAGTTGCGTCAGGACCCGAGCAGGGGGGAAATGGTCAGGGTGAGGGGAGGGAAGGGATTCTTCCCTCACCCTGATAAAAAACACCTGATTCTAACTTTATGAATTCAGCAAACAAGGCTGATGCTAAGTGATGAGAAATAGGGAGACAACTTGTAGATATGTCTCAAAAAATCTATTTATGTAAAAGCATCATAGTGAGAGTAAAATGGCAGTATATTCAACATGATGGTTTGTCAAACTATCAAACACAAAATCTGAAGAAAGCATGAAATGGGAAAAAGTTGTTGAGCCCATCAACATCCTTCTACAACAAAGCAGAGCTCTATCATGAACAATAATTCTGTAGCACCTTTCACATAGGAGGAATGTCTTAATCCATTTTACAAAGGCAATGGAGATCAGAGAAGGAAGGGGACATTAAAGGTGTGCACCAAAGGCACTGTCAAATATGTAAAACAGGTTTGAAGGCAGATGATGAGAGAAGAAGCAATGGGATTTTTGGAGAGATTTCCAAAGAGTGGGGCACAAAGTCTCAGTTACCAGTTAAACCAGAGGGAGCGAGGAATGAGCAGTTAGACAAGAAACGAGTGTGAAAGAGCATAGTTCATGGGCAAGAGAATAGGACTGGAAGAGTTTGCAAAGGTAGGGTGTGAAGGGAATTCATGATCAGAGCAAGGATCTTCACCCTATTTGATGGGGGACAACTATTGTATTAATACATCTTGAATTTTCAACGATATTAACAAGGTTGAATTCAGCTCTCCTATATTCCAGAACAGAAACTGTCTGTCAGATTGAGTAGGGCAGCAAAATAAACAAGTCAAATCTATATGCTAAGTACTGTATTTGTCAGCGAAGGCTTTAACTTATTCTTCCATTTATGGGATTATTTCACAAGTACTTCAACTGAAAGTAGCTAACTCTGAAGAAATTCTGTGATATTACAACACATGTACATGTATATAGCACCTTGCATGTAGGGAGGGCATCCCAAGGTACTGATGTTACAAAAAGGATTGTAAATCAATATAGTGTTCTGCTTTTGCTCAAGGGAAATCAATGCAAGTTTTTCTGTGGCAACTTTTTTTCAATGCGTTATTTTTACAATGATTGTCAGAAAGCTAAATCGTTTCATTGCAGGGTTTCAATTACTTTCCTGAAAAAGATGAACACATGCTGAGTT